GAGTTACGATAAAACCAGCCATTGGCACGATTTGAATACGATGTCTTCATTTTCTACGGTTGTTTTTTTTGCTTTTGAAAATTGTTCTACTGTTGATTTTGCTTTTGCAAAATACATTTTGAGTCTCTTGAGGAAGTTAGACTTGATGCAAAATGCACTTGGAGCAAACTCACGCACTATTGATTGACGGTGCAAGAGGGTGTGGGGTTTCTTCTTGACATGTTTTTCTTTGTGCTGACTAGTTCACGGATGTTGCAATCACGCACGTCAAAGTGAGGTGCGCGTTGGAAACAGCCCGGCAAGTGCAGTACTGAACAGGTGCTTCGCTGCGTCTACCTATACCAAGTGCAAGGGAAGCCCCTCAATTCCCATGCCATCCCATCGGCTTTCGAGGAGCCTTCGCCGCTGCGTTTTGGTTGAAAGCCAATTGACCTTTGACCTTGTGCCCCAAAACCCACGGCAAGTCTGCCTTCGTACACCATCCGTCGTTCTTTTTGGGCTAAGCATACTAATTGCTCCCACTTTTTTTCGGATTTTCCGGACGGGGTTTCCGGACGCGAGCTCATGTTTTGACCAAGGATTCGAGGGGTCCCCTTTGGAAGCCACCGACCTCACGAGGTGACGGACACCCCGTGGACCCGGCATCCATCCTCGCCCGTACCGAGACTGGGCCAAAAGGGCTCCATGGGCTTCAGCATTGGAAGATGCGGTGGGTGGCCTTGGTGTTGAACACAGCCCCCCTTGATCTTGCTTATGTAGCTTATATGGCTGTGGTTGTCAAAACCGTTTTTGAATTCACCACCCCATTTTAGAACCTATTTTAGTGGGGATTGGGATGTTCACTGGGGGTACGGGATTTTGACCCATGGCCATATGTGATAGAAGGTTGTTGGGATGCAAACAAGCCACAGCCACCCTTCATGCGGCACGCTGTTTGTATTGACCTGGTGGCTGCACATATGATGCATGAAAGGTGGCTGTGGTTTGTGCAAACAAGCGCGCCTCAGGCAGGCGACATGGTTTTCAACAGCTGAAAGAAGGGGGGGTTATGTCGATTAAGCTGGGTGGTTCTGAGCAGCTGTTCCCAGCCATCTGGTTCCCTAGCTTCAATTTTTTACGGGTGTAGTGGGGGGTCCATTCAATCTACCAAAAGTTAAACAAAGCTAAACTTTCAGGGGATCTGAGCCACAAACCTGCGCATCTCAGGAGACCTTGGAAGTGATCCCAACTCGAAAAAGGGCTTAGCTTCCTAGCCCAGCAGCCTGCTCTGTCTTGGGTTTATTTGCAGTGCTCGCCGATTCATTTGCTTGAAGCAAACAGAAGCATATTTCAAACCCAGGAGTGCGGGCTTTTGGGGTAGAAGCTAAGCAACTCGAAGCATTTGTGTTTCACCATTATGATGGCCGACGCGCGCCCTACATGGGCAAATTGTCATGAAAAATGACGAGCACTTTTTTTGTTTATACAAATGAACAATGAACATTGCTGTGCACGGTTGTGCATTTTGCCTTTCAATAAAACAAAATAATTTCAAATTCTAGAGGAAGGCTGGAAGGTTGTCTATATCATTCTAAGGAATGGCTTTGATAATTGAATGAATATATTCTATTTGGTTTGAATTATTTATATATAATTCTTGATATTGAATGAATATTTAATTATTTGAACGAATTAATTTGGAAAATGTTAAGTATATAATTATTATAAATTAATAAATTTTATATTTTGATGAACTATATATATATATATATTTCTTGAAATGGGAATGAGGTTTTTGAAAATTCGGATTTTGATATGAAAATATTATATTGATTTATAATTATTGATGGGGGGGGGAATTGCTACCATTATATTACATATATTAAAATAGATTTAATAATGATTGATTAATTTAATTAGTGATTATTATTTATTTTATTTTATAAAAGGAAACCGTGAAACTTGCTCGTCGTACTTGCGCGCGTTTTTCCGGATCGCTTTTCCGAAAAATCTCGGATATTTCGGAAAATTGGTCTGAACTGCTTTTGGAAGATGTAATCGCTCGCTTGCCCAAATCTGTCCGGGTTACCCCGGCATATGTGCGAAAAACATAGTGGCTTCATTTTTTGTAGGGACTAATTTCCCGAAATATTCTAGATATATCGGGAAAGCGGTCCGGAAATCGTAGCCACCCACCATTTTCTCGAAATATTCCGAACATGTTCCCGAAATATTCCAAATATTTCGGGAAATACTATCATCGACATATCCGGAATATTTCGGCAAAATGGTCTGGATTGCTTCTATCGAAATATCCAGGATATTTCGGAAAAATGGGGTCCGGGCTTTGAACGAAGTCGTTGTGTCTTTTAGATCAAGAGTCTAGGCATATATCTCCCCATCCGTAGCCGTTAAACGAAGCCGTTATGCCTTCCAAATAAAGAGTCGGCACATATATCTGCCGGTCCGTAGCAATTTTGGCTACAATCTTGGCCCATCTTCCGAGAGTTTGGCGATGCGA